AATTTGAGATATGTACTAATAATGTTTGCATTTAAATTGTGTAACTGAACCACTAAGTTTTTGAACTTTACAAATTATATTGCTTTTAATCATTGCAATTTTTTAAGACTTTGCTCGAGCTGATTGTTTTGGTGACTCAGCATATTAAAGATTTTTCAGATTTGTAAAGAGAATTCGATATGTATTAAAAAGCTTTATCTTATAAATAAGATAAAATAATTTAGTTTTTATTTTTTCTATATGGATATCTTAGTATGTACAAAAAATAGGATACTGAAATAAGATTTGTCTCTGACATGCTATCAAGAATAATAATAATTGAATTATATGTTTTAGATAGATATAACTTATTAAGATTTGAACTAAAGATCATGTCATGTATTGATTTAAGTTCTTGAATAGTAGTTTGTTTTAAATATTTATTTATTTTTTTGAGAATTGTTTGGTGCTGATTCAAATTATATTTTTTGATGAATAATTCAAGAGCTCTTTTCAGATATAATTTACATTTTGAAAGTCTAGATATTGGGTCTAAAAAGCTTTAGTGTTTAATTATAGTTTAATATATTTATGATGAAAGTATTTTTTGAAGCTTTGATTTTATAATGATATAAAGCCAATTCATTATAATACTTATTTTTAAAGTTTTTTATGAAACTAATTCATTTAGATTTTTTTTTTAGTTAGGTGATATATAATGATAACAAAAGAAAAACACTATAATTTTTTTAACAAATGATTAACTACAAACACTTATTTACAATACCAATTCATAATCAAACAAAAGAAAAATTTTGTTAATATCTAATTATTAATTAAAAATCTTAAAATCAATTTTATTTACAAAAGCTTCATCACAAATGACTATTTACAATGCTAACTCATCTTTTTTAGCTAGATTATATAATGATAATAAAAAAAAAGTTCACAAAAATCAATGTTTAATTAATTAAAAGCCTTAAATTGTATCATTACAATTGTTCTTTTTCTTTTTTTTTTAGTTAAAACATATCTATATTTTTTGTAAAAATAATATTATAAATATTTATTTTGTCAACTGTTTGTTACAAAAACATAATTATATATATTTCAAAAGTTGACTCTAAAAGGCTAATTCTAATGCTAAATGTCATAGAAAATAATAATTTTCTGATATTTTGATACCTAATATTTTTATGATTAATTAGACTAACAAAAACAATCAAATAATGTGCAAGATTTCAAGTAATAAACTTTTTACATTAGGACTAAGGTGAGAAAAAATTTGTTGGTTAGAAAAACATGATTTTTATATTCTCAAAATACTATTATTTGATTGGCTAATCGATTGATACATAATATCAATCTAAAAAGAAAGATTCAATATTAAAACCAGCATAAAAACTTGTGATAAAATTTGTTCTATAATATGACAAAAAGTACTTTTTCAATCCAATAGTTTTATATTTGTATGTAGAAAAACTAATTCATTACAAACCTTCACTTCTTAATTCAAACACATATAATGATTATATCAAAAAAATTCCTACTAATGAAATGTTAAAAATTTTAAAGTTAAATTAAAATATTAAATCATTGTTTCATTTTTTCACATTTTGCAAATCATTTGCTACAAAAATCTCTTAAAAAAAATAGTTAACCCGTAAGATAAATCGATTTTTTAAATACTGATTTTATTAGTAAATTATTAGTAAATATTTTATAATTTTGCTGATCAATTTTATGCACAAAATCTGATAATAGTAAAATTACTAATGCATCTCACATGACTTTGATTAATTAGTACATGAAATACCCCAGTATGTTATGCAATATTCTAATTTTAACGCAGATACCAGATTTGTATCAAAATGATTAATCTTTGATATCTACTAATATGAAATTCGTCTCAAAGCATGATTTTGCTGTGTACCAACCCAAATTAAAAAATAATCAGACCTAAGTAATTATGGATTCCAATATTATGGTGCCTCGATGTTTTAACCTTTGTAAGTATAATTTTATTTTAACTACCAAAACTTTAAACCTAAATTCTCAGAGATTCGTAATCCTATATCAGGTTGTATGGAACTGCTAAGTTAACATATTTTTTATATAATATCAAACGAAGGGAATCTCTCTGCTGATTATATGTATGGATTGGTGTATAATAGGGTTGCGACCCAACTCTTTTTTTTTTTAATTATGGCATTACTACTTAGTTGGGATTGGAAATCGGTATTTTTACTTGTTTTGGGTTTATAACCAAATCTAAATATATTCTTTTTCAATAATAATGTCAAAATAAATAAACCACCGATTCATTAAATATGTATGTATTTAAGGTAGTATTAAAACTTTAAATTATTCAAAAAAATATAGACTTTTAATCAGGTATATTCAGATTCGAATATTCAAAAGATCAAATTTAATTAAGAACCAGGCAATTAATAAATAATGCTAGGAACGAAGTGCAAATGAAGTGGTATGTCTAATTAGATAATTCATCCTTATAATTTCATCTTGGGATATCTATATTTCTACATCATAGTATCAATGTATGCATGAGTTTAATAAAAAAAAAATGCAATTGAATGTTATATTATCAAAGAAACATAATTCTATATAATAAACATGTTAATACTTTTCTCATCTAGTTAGCGATTTAAAGATAAAAACTATTTATTGTCATGGCCTTTAAATTTGTGATATGAGCAAATTATACCCGTTTTTGTTCATGGTTCTACCTTCTATCGATTTATCTATTATGCATCATATAAACTTTCACTTCTGTTAAATTATGTAATTTATTTTACTTGATTTGGGATCCGTACAAAAAAAGAGCCTTGTTACTACGTAGGGTTCTGTAAGTGCCAGGCATGGGCACTATTCAAAACATAGTGCCGGACACATGCCCGGGCATCACTTTTAGTAGTCTGTGCTCGGTACTTGCAGAACTCTACTTGTTACATATAATTTTTAACACATAATTTTTAACATGAATTAGATTTCATTTATATTAATGGGCCTAGTTTGGGTCGAGCCTAATTTGGGCCGAGCCTAATTTGGATTAAACCCGGCCCGGTCCATACTCTGGAGTTTTTTTTTTTTACCGGGCCGGGCTTGGGCTCAAAAATGTTTTTTTGGTTTGGGGCAAGCCCGGCCCGGCCCATTCCGTGCCCTACAGGGAAGTCTTGTCGTCGGTCACATGAATACCTCGGAAATCGGACCCGACCTTATAGGGTGGCATTAACAAAATTACTAAAGAAAATATAGGTATAAATTTTTATTATATAAAAAAAATTTCGTAACATATCAGGTACAGGTGTTAATTTCAAGCATGACATCAATATTACGGAAAATAATTAGTCTGAGCATAAAAATTATTTCATTTAGAGCCTCACGAATAACATGTAGTGAATATAATGCGAGTGACGAATTGGTATGAAGCATGACTATTTAATTATTGATCACTTATCGACCGACCAGATCAAAAAAAAAATTTTTTTTATAATCGGTCACTAATTGATCATCTTTACTGAAGAGAGACCCTTTTTTACCTTTTGACGACGCAATCGTACCCAACGTCTTCGACGAACAAATGAACGGAGTGGTTGATAGCAACCTATTTAAAAATAAGAAAAAGGTACAATATGAATCTATGAATCTATGTTTATGGTCAAGATAAACTAAATATGTACCATGCCAACAAGGAAAATGGAAATCGGGAGCATACTCCCACCCTTCTGTAAATTAATAATTAAATTCCTAAACAATATTGACTTCCACTAAAATAAGGACAATCTCACCTTCATCCACGTCGCCAGACATATCAACCAACCATTCTTTATGAACCTACAAAATTGAAAAGGCAAATCAAATGAATGTATGGACATAAAATTTGTGCATTGATTACAAATCGATTATAACGGCACCCATTCCCACGTTGGATTTGGCAATTGATAAGTGTAAATATCCATTGGAGAGAATCTTGATATAAAGGGTATTTCGTTAATATTAATCATGTAACTAAATATAGTGACAAAGGCGGTTATAAATAAAATAATTGCAAGTACTTTTGATTTTTGTCAGACCAAGGCTGAGGATCAGCCTGATTCAATGCATTAGAACTGAACTTCGGTAAGCCAAATAAAAACAATCTACGCGTAAAAGAAACGACGGGTCAAAGCTTTAAATAGACAAATTAAAGAGAAATTATTTTAAGAACTTACCCTCGTTGATTTTCATAAAGAATATCGTATTCGTAAGTCGGTGCATTGCTTAAAGCTTCCTTGTGTATTTGTGCATCTTGAGCCTGAAATAAAGAATCGTAGGTATTTGGGCAACACGAAAATTTAGTTGCAGATTTATTTATAAGCCAAGTTTAGCACCTCTTCTTTGATAATTTTAATTATACTGAATCTCTTCGACTCTTTCGTGATTTCGTCGTCCATTGCAAAAAAAATAAGGTGTACATACGCTAAGTCTTTAGGTCCAGGAATAGTTCACATAGGCAGAAATTCGTCTGATTGGCTAATGTAAATCAATTGCCCGGGTAACTTATTTATATGTTTTAGAGTACTTTTTGAGAACGCAACATTACACAACTTTAATTTAAGAGGGGTTTGGCTTAGACACGACTTTCCGCACAAAAACAAAAGTAGTTATTAACAAAGCAGTTGTCTTTTTTTTGAGATTTCAAGTTAGGTGTTTGAAGCAAAACAAGCTTGTTTGCGTATAAGGTCTGCTTTATATTTAAGATATTTTTAAGTTGACTTGGTTTGTTAAAGCATATAGATTTATTAACTATAGATATCAACCTGGGTTTATAGATAGTAGAGTTAGTGATTCGAGCTTTGTTTTGCCATTTTGACTCTACTCTATATGCATTTATCTATCTTTTATACATATATAAACCAATAAATCATACATATTTATTGATTTATTTAAACTTTTTCTTAAAGTTTTTGCTTAATATTATAAAATAACGAATTGCAAATTGTATGATTTGATTGGTTAATAATTACATGCATATTGTCACGGGTTTTATGGTCGAGTTTAGAGATGGGGCAAATGCGACGGATTGTCGCTTGAAAAATGATTATGCTGCATAACGTTCCTCGGAAATAATAAAGGCGGTTTTTATGATTTGGCACAAGGTTGAAGTAATTTTTAAGGAGTGTTATTAGACAAGTATATGAATTTAAAGAGTGTTAATATATTTTATAGGTTTTATTAACTTTTTTATTATTTGTAGTGGCAATATAACTATAGAACTGTATTATTATACTATTCTGAGTGGTTCTAAATTATTTTGAACTACTTTTTGAAAAGAAAAAAAGGTCATTTTTTTATAATGAATTAATTATAAGAAGAGCATATACAAGATTATAACTCTTATTGTTTTTATTGTTTTTCAATTTTATTTGTTTTAATCTTTAACTTTTTTTATACAGTCTTTCATTACTTTAATATTTTTTTTACAGTTTTCATAGAACTGATAAGAAATGTTTCAGTTTCATTATTCTGAGATTAGAATTTATCATATTGTTTATAATTGTACTCTTCTTAACATTTTCTTATATCTAACTCAAATAGAATAAATGTAATTAATGTTTATTTTTAGTATAAACAGATTGGTTTAGGTTGATTTTTTTTTATTTGGAGAAGATAATAGAATTCTATATAGAGGTTTGTATATTGTTATATAGTTTTTATAAAATTAAGTATATATGTTTTAAATGGATTGTTATAAATATTACCAATTAGATAAATATGTTATAATGATATTCATTTTACAGATTCTATAGAGTATTAGTTTTATTTTTAACAAAATTTAAAAATTGATCTATGAAGTTAATCAATTAAATAAATTTTAGTAAATAATATTTATATTTATATTTATAAATTTGATTAATTAAAGAAGTAACATTTAAGTGTTCATTATAACTTTATAGAAAACTAATAATTAATTATGTTTTATACTTTCAAAGTTAATTATTTAATAAATATAAATTTTAAAATAATTAATAATATAATTATATAAATCTTATAAAATTTAAATTTTATAATTTAGTAAATAAGTTTTTAAATTTTTTATAGATAAGATTAATAGTTTGAATTAAATTAAAGGTAATTTTGTTTTATAATTTATTAAAATTATTAATTAGATATAAAATTTTGAAGGTGTGGTGATCTAGTGAAGTGGTCAGGTTGTCAACCCTCCAAGTAATAGGTTGGATGTTCAAATTCCATCAACAGTAAAAATTTGAATAATTACCTATATAATATTCATATTACAGCAATTGTTACTAATAATTGGGTTAGGATACCTGTAATGATAATCATATCAGCATGACTGGTAGGTCATAGGGCATTCATATAACAGGTCACATGACATTGTCCTTTGGAACAAGATTGTGGTTATACAAAGAAATGCAAACCAGCAATTAGGTAGTGCAAACACTAGATAAGTCCTTGTGGCCATATAAATCTATTGAAATTGGGTAACAAGAAGTCCATTTGGGAAGACCTGAATAGAAAGATAACCAAATCTTTGACAGTCCTACTGTAAAAGTTAGCTTTATAAAATGGATACTAAGATCAAAGTAATCAGATGAGTAAAAACCTTTAGATGGGAGGTACCACCAACCAGGCCACTGGATCGAGTCAGAGAAAAAGAATATTAGGTCAACCTGATATACTAATAGATTAGTTATAAGTCCTACTGGGCTATCTGGATTGGGAGTTTGATAAACCAGCAGGGGTATACTAAAGTATTTCGGATATGCTGTGAAATAGATGCTAAGGTTTGTGTGAATTCTACAAGGGCATAATGGTTTAATGGTCAGTTCTAACCACAAGTGTTGGTTCTGCTATAGTGATACCTAGGTCAGTTATAAAAATGAATACAGAAGACTCTAGGAGGTTTATCTTGAGAATAAATTAGTCCTAAGGTTAAGATGATGATTTGGGCATCTGGAATAACCTAATAATATTAACACAGATTACAGATTCAGAGGATTTAAAGTAGAACATCCAAGCAAGAATGTTAAGTATAGCAATTAGTAAGGAACCTTCAGGCAGACTCCTTAAATAGGTAATATAGAAAAGTTATACATGTAGCCAATTGTATACTCTCCTGTAGTGGTTCATTAAACCACAATACCGATAAGTGATTAATAAAAATTAAAAGACCAAAGAGGTCACCTTAATACCAAAAAAAAAAAAAAGAATAACATTAATACAAATAAAATATATTAATAACATGTGTATATTATCTAAGATTACTTATTTATTTTAAGTAATAAAATTATTCAAAGCAGTAATTAAAACAATACAAAAATTAATTTTAAGAATAACAAAACACAAACTTGAAATTATAAAAATAGTAGGTAATAGTATTATACTATATAGAAATATTAAAAATTGTAACTTTTTTTGATATCATTTATAAATAAAACAAAATTACAAGTATATATATACAAGTCAATATAATAAGCCTAAAAGAAGTACTTATTAGAATACAAATTAATTATAAACTATTAATAATAAAAACAACAGAAACTAATTAGTATAATACTCTATCTAAGGTATACAAAAGACTATAAAAAACAATCTAATATATTATACAATGCTTAATACCAAATAAATATAAAATTTACAATCTTAGATTTTAATATAAAAAAAATACAAAATTGTAAATATACAAGGTAATAATTTTATTAAATATAAATTATATTTTTTAAAAAGTTTAATCTAGTTTATGTAAATTAGCTAATTTTAAAATTAATAAACAAAATAATTTTTTAATAATAATTAAAAATCTTACAAAATAGATTAAGCAAAGGTAAATATTTTAAATAGTTTACAAAATAAATGAAAAAATATTAAATAACAAAAAAAAAACTTTTTAAAAAAAATTTAAAGAATTACTGAACTAAACAAATATATACTCAAAATTGTTATCAAAATTATTTTTATAAAACAAAAAAAAAATTTGGATTTTAATAGAATTAATAAAAAAAACACAAATCTAATAATTAGAAAATTTTATTAAGTAATTTTAAAAGGATTCTAATAAAACAGTAACAAAAAATAAAACAAGCAAAAATAGCAAATATAATTTTATTTAAATATAAAAACTGCAAACTAAATTAAGACTAAAAAACAATAAATTATAAAAAATAAAATAATAGAAACAAAGTTCAAAAATAGGTTTAAATTATATTAGAAAATATAAACAAAAAACTTTAAAATTAGACTAAAAATAATAAGCATATTATAAGAAAAGAAAAAAAAACTATAATTAGATAAAAGAAAAAATAAAAAAATTTTTTTTGTATTATAATTTAAGTTTAGAAATCATTAGTTAGTTAATAAAAAACAAACTTATAAAACATAATTAAAAAACAAACAAGATTTAAAAAAGAGTTAATATTTTATATAAATAATTTACTAAAAAAAATAACAAAAAAAGAAGATTTAAAGTTTGAATATATAAAGTTAAACTAAATACAAATAAATATAAAAGAAGAAAAAATTCTAAATAAGAATTTTTAGTTATTTGTAATTGGTCTTTATTAACAAATTAAAACTTTTAGCAATTTAATATATTATCTTTATATCATCAAAAAAAAATCTTTATAGATAATATAATAGTAATTACAAGTCTTAAAAATAAAAAAAAATTAATTTAGTAAACAATATTTTAAAAAAAATATAATTTATTAAGTGTTATAATGTTTAAATTTTTTTTAGTATTATTAAAAATTATATTTATAATTATATATAAGAACAAAATTATTTTAAAAAGACAAAACGCAAAATTAAATTTGAAAATAAAATTGTTTTAACCTACTTTTATTTAAAAAGTAAAATTTTTTTAATACTTTTTTTAAATAAACAAAGTTATAAGAAATATAAACAAAACTAACTTTAGAAGTATGCAATGTCATATAAATAAATCTAGAAAGTATATACTTAGATTAGAAGCCTACTTGGAAATTCTAAGTAGAGAGGTAGTACAACTTTTGATAGTGCCACCTGTGAAGATCTTAATCTGAAAAAGAAAACCTAGAGCAGGTAATCTGTATAGGCAAGAACCTCTAGGTAGAGAGTCCACTAACCTGGTTACTAGTTAATTTGGATATGAAGTTACATCATATAGGACTAACTAGATTAGTAGTATAAGAGAACTTGCAAGGATAGACAAGGTATTGGTGAGGTTGTAAAAGAAGGGTACTGGGGTTGTATAAACTTTGCAAGGATTGTAAACTAGGTTTAACTATAAATTAAGATACAGAAGGCTCTAGTAATAATATCTTAAGAATAATCTGCATGAAATAAGATAGGGGTTCTAAGGGTATGGGTATGCATCTAGAACTTCTTGACTGTTATCATATAATAGAGATATTTTAGTAATACAATAAAGATTGCAGTACAAAAAGTTTAA